CACGCGCACACACGCACACACGCGTTCACTTCCACTCCATCCCCCCCCCCCCCCCCCAAAAAAAAAAAAAAAACAGTCGGCACAGATCACGAACCTCTTGTTGCCAAAGGTGCGGCGCATGTACACGTCTGCATCATCACGGTTGACTTGCTTCTGTACACATGAGTTGAAGCCGCGTGAGCGGAAGAAGCAGTACTTGACCGCCGTGTCAACAAGGGAGACACACACACACACACACACACACACACACACACACACACACACACACACACACACACACACACACGACGCACACACACGACGCACACACTATCCACACCTTGAGAAGGCCTGGCGAGTCTGGATCAGCGGCAAGTGACGTGTTGAGCGAGCTGTCACCAGTTGTCGCGCCCGCATCATCGTCCTCGTCGTCATCATCGTCATCATTGAATCCAGGCACAGATGCAGTGACGCGCGAGGACAGCACAATTTTTGGTCGCTTGCGGTTGCGCTGCGGCGTGCTATCAAACAGATCATCCTCGTGGCCCTGGCACACAACAAGAACACAAGAACACACGCATGCACACACGCGTGCACACACATCCACAAACAAACAAACACACACACGAGCGGCCCAGTGTGAGTGCATGTGTTCATGTGTGAAGGAATGTGACTGTTTGTTGTTGTTTTGTTGCTGTCACGACACTGCATGCAGAACCACAGCATAGCACCGCGTACCTTGTTTGTTGCCTCCATCGCCTCCCTGACTTGCCGCTTCCACTTGAGTGTGCCCACGCCAGCGTCAATCACAGGTCGTTGCTCCTCCTCTTCCTCATCATCATCATCACCATCGTCATCACCATCGTCGCTGTCATCGTGGCCACCCTTCCCAGCCTTTCCTTTTCGTCTGCCACCACCACCACCACCACCACCACCACTGCTGCTCCCCTTCTGTTTTGCCTTTGTGTCCATCAAGGTCATGTGCATGTGGCAGCACTCGTGCGGACTGCGCGTGCCGACAATCTTGGCGACGTACTTCCAAAATCCTGTGGTGTGCGCATGAGACAGGGATGGTGAAGTCGCGCGCGCGTGTGTGTGTGTGTGCACGTAGCAGATACGGAGAGCACAGGAGAGGAAAGAGAAAGACGCAGAACCGAGGTGCACACAAGCTGACAACACACACACGCACACACACACACAAGCTCACACACACGCACACAAGCTGACAACACACACACACACACACGCACACACGCACACAAGCTCACACACACGCGCCACTGACCTGGCTTGCCGGCGATCTTTGATGCAAAGTGGACGGCGTTCTGAAGACGGCGCAGCTCCCGCTCCGTCCACTCGGACGAACTCGACGCTGATGGTGGTGGTGGTGGTGGTGGTGGACATGAATGCTATGAGGAAGGCTTGCGTGCTTGCGATGAGACACGCAGGTGTGCACGTGTGTGTGTGTGTGTATGAGTGTGTGTGCCAGCACTGGTACCTCGCGCTCTCGTGCACCAGACCTGATGTGCCGTTACTGCCATCGCCTCCAGTTGTCGTCGTTGCATCGGTGTCACCACCAGTGTTCGGTTTCGTGGCGTCGTGCGTTCCAGCGCCACCTCCCTGCTTGGGTGACGGCGGTGATTTGTTCGTCTGACTGCGCTGACTACTGCGGTTAGAGAAGCTGGCGGTGACAGCAACAGGGCGTGTGGTGGTGGTGGTGGTGGTGGTGGTGGTGATGTGAGTTTGAGATGAAGCCCCCTCAAACCCGTGGCGCACACAAACGCATGTACACACATGCACATGTGTACGCACGTGCACACGCACGCGCATGTTTCCGCACATGTACGCACATTCACATTCACACACACACATACACACGAATGCACTGCCAGGCAGCGAGCGATGCACCTGTTCTCGTCGATGACAATGACCTCCTTTGTGTAGTTGATGTGCTGCCGTCGTGGCCGCAATCGACGCGGTGACGGGTCAGCGAGCGACGAGGGCGCAGTGTGGAGGATCGCCTCAGGATCACCACCATTACCGTCATCATCATCATCATCATCACCACCACCACCATCATCATCATCATCATCACCATTACCGTCATCATAATCATCATCGTCATCATCCTTGCTACCGTCCTTGTCGTCATTGTTGGTGTTGTTCACCTCTGCGATTTCTCTGTTGCCAGACTGCGTGTTCTTATCATCACCATCACCGTCACCATCCACTTCCTCCTGCTCCTCTTGCGTCACGTCCTCGGCCAAATCCTGCGATGTCTCCTGTGTCGATGCGCTCGCGTTCATTTGTGTCTGGGCCTGTGTCTGAGTCTGTGTCTGTGCCGTGGGGTGTGTTGGTGCTGCACTGTTAGCGGCGTGTGCACCTTCACTGCTGCCATCACCGTTGTTGCCCCTCGCGTCCTTGTTCACACGGGGTTGCGATTGTGATTGCGACTGCGATTGTGATTGCGATGTGCTGCTGTCGTCATCAACGACGAATTGCGGCCCCATCGTCTTCACAGGCGGTTGAGAGTCATCATCATCGCCATCATCATCATCATCATCATCATCGTCGTCGTCGTCGTCATCTTCATCATGTTCGCAACCTTTTCAGTGTGCGTGTGTGTGTGTGTGTGTAACGACGCAGTGTTAACGTACATAAAAAAAAGAAAGAGCTCACCGCACGTCAAGGAAGCCACCTCAGCCACACAGCATCACACTGCACCACCACGCCACGCCACACTGCACCACACCCCATCAGCAGCCGTGCAATGCATCACCTCTCTTCGCGCGCTTGGCAGCGTGATCGTCCGTGCCGCTGCTCGCTGCGGCTGCTGTCTTGCTCACAGCTGCACGCGTCGTGTTGGTGATGGTCTTCTTTGCTGTTCGGCGCCGTGTTGTGGCGAGCGGAGATGCCGACGACGGTGGCGATGGCGGCGATGTGCTGGCGGTCGTCGTCGTGGTCGTGGGTGTGGTGGTGGTGTTGGTGCTGCTGGGCTTGGGTGTCTGCAGCAGACACACAAAGACAATGAGAACGGGAGCCATCTGAGGGATGCGGGTTGAAACACAGGCAAGCCACAGGTGGAAAGGGAGAACGAAATCTCTCGGCACCGTCCCCCGCCCACACACACAGACACAGGCACACAACACAGACACACAACACAGACACACGCACACGCACACGCACACGCACACGCACACGCACACGCACACACAACACACACACAGACACACACACACGCACGCACGCACTTACGCACACACACACACACACACACACACACACGCACAGAACATACAACTTCATCACACGGCCACCCTCACCTTGCGTCTGCTTGCGAACCGCACGCCCTCTGGTGTCTTCATCTCTGCCTGTCGCGTGTCGCCGCGGTAGCCAATGCACTCGCCTGTCCCGCTGTACTTGTAGCGCTGATGGTGGTGATGGTGGTGATGGTGGTGATGGTGGTGCAGGAGATGGGAAAGGAACGACGTGTTAATCATCACGCAACCACGCCCTCATGATCTCGTGCACCCATGCAACGGCACATCGCTGGTGTTGTTCCTCCTCCCAAACCTGTCGAGAATACAACACAAAGCAACACACACAACACAATACAATACAAACAAAGAGCAACAACCAACAAGTAAACGTGACACAACTACATACGTGCATTCATGAACAAACCATGCCTGCAGGCAACCCACCTCGCCACGCCACCATTCTGCACGCTTCTTCAAGGTCCGCCCAGATCGTGAACGACCAATGATTGGAACAGCAACATCACCACCACCTCGGCTGTCGTGGTGCTGCTTGCTTGCGGCGGCTGATGATGGTGTTCGCGGTGCGGATGATGTGGATGATGTGGATGATCGTTTGCCCGCTGGTGCTGTTGATGCTGGTGTCGTTGTTGTCGATGTTGATGCTGCTGTTCCCTTTGACGCTGCAGGAGACGCACGCAAACCACTGCCGCCACCTCCTCCAGTGCTGGCTCTACTCGTTCGTCGCTGTGTCTGTTTTTTCTTCCCTGTCGATGCCTTGCTGGTGCTGCTGGCCTTGGGGGTGCTGGTGCCAGTGTTGTTGCTTTTGCTTCCAGCTTTCGACGATGCCCGCCTTTGCTTGTTGGCACTGCTCTGCTCCTTATCCTTCTTGGGGACCTTATTCGTCGCTGCTGATGTTGTTGATGTTGCTGCGGTCTTCGTGTTTTGCGCTGCGCCACGCCCCTTGCCGTGATACTTCCTGAACGTATCCTGCCACGTGGAGGGGAAGCCGCCTTTGTTGCCGTTGGCGCGCGCAAAACTCCGGGCCACATTGTAGTTGAACCCAAACGAGCGCGCCTTGTCAATCTGTGCAACAGGACGCGCACAGTGGTGATGGCAGGGTGGTGAGATGAAGTCACGGGGCATGTGCAATGAACATGGATGAGTGAAAACGCACAGGGACAAAAGCTGCAGTTGTACGAGCATCTACATGCGCCAAACACTATTCAGCCACAGAACACCGGACACACACACACATACACAGAATGCACACACACACACATACACAGAATGCACACACACATACACACACACGCGCGCGCGCGCACGCACACTGACCACAAACGGGGGTTCGAGGATGTACTGTGACCCGCTCTTGGTGACAACGGTCGTGGCATCAATTCGATCCACAATCTTTGACGAATGCCACACTATGGCCGTGTCATTCGCCATCTTGTACCCCTCAACCTGCAGCCCGTCGTCGCAGAACTTCACCCACCAGCTCTTCAGCACCGTGGGTGGTTTGAGCGTGGATGCAGCGGTGCGGAGTGGGGGCTTGCCCGACGACGCCTTGCTCCTCGATGTGGTCGTGGCCGGTGTCTTCTTTGAATGGGAGCGTCGACGTGTGCGGGTGCGCGGTGACGAGCTGCCGTCGCCATCATCATCATCAATTTCATCCCCATCATCATCGGCATCACCGCCACTTGTTGGTGCGGGCGACATCTGCATGTGCCGAACTGACTTGCGCGCTGTCTGCCGCGGGATTTGATACGACCGCCGCGGTGGCATCGCTGGTGGCTCTTCTTCTTCTTCATCATCATCATCATCATCATCATCATCATCTTCTTCTTCTTCTTCTTCTTCTTCTTCTTCTTCTTCTTCTTCTTCTTCTTCTTCTTCTTCTTCTTCTTCTTCGTCCTCCTCTTCTTCCTCGTCTTCATCAACCTCACCACCACCATCGTCATCAGCACGACTTGTCCTGGCTGCATGCTGACCAGTGGTGCCAACACGACGGGCAGCGCTCTTCTGGTATTGCGTCTGCAGCTCCTCCTCGTCCACGTCTTCGTCTTCATCGTCTGGATTGAACTCTTCCTCAGATTCAGACAGGCTCACATCACCATCATCACCATCCTCCTCGTCATCATCATCTTCGCGCTGCAACACACGCACGTCAACACGGTTGCCCGCCACGTGATGCGCCCAGTGCGTGCCGGTTTGATGCATTGCCTCATCGCGTTTGCCGCTGTCCTCGGCATCGTGATATTGATCATCGTACCCAGTGTCCATGTCTGCCGCTTCAACTCCCATCATTTCCGCACCACCATGCCTCCTGTCCACAACTTTCTCCTCCTGTTGCTGATGATGCTGCTGCTGTTGTTGTTTTTGTTTTTGTTGTTGTTGTTGTTGTCGGTGGTGTGAGCGGGTGCCTGACATGCGTCGTGTCGCAGGTCTCGATGTCGCCATTGACGCGGGTGAGTCGAAATCCGGCGGCGGCGGCGGTGATATGACGGCAGGTGTTGTTGCCATTGGTGTTCGCGGAGTGTGGTGCGGTGTCTTCGTGGCTGCTGTGGATGCTGTTGAAGTTGACGGGGTCGTAATTGCTGCTGTTGCTGCTGCTGCTGAGGACGACAGCGCCTGAGAATGCAACGCAACAGTCACATGAAAGGATTGGTGCATCAGCGTGATGATGGTTGAAGTTGACAAGGGCTTGTACTTGTCATCACACATGGGCGCAGGCAAAGGTAGTGCGCTCCTCGCACATAGACACACACGCACGCGCGTGCAATGCGCAGACGTGCAATGCACCAACTGCTGTAACACACAGAACACATTTACATAGCACCACCACTGCCACCACCGCTTCCACTGCCAACGCGCTCACCTTTGGCAGTGGGGAAGCCTTGAGCAAGCTTTCGAACGAGGCACGAGCGCTCTTGAAATCAAACATGGGCGCAGATCGCCGGGCGACAGGCCGTGCCATCCCCGGTGTAGATTGTGGACCAGGTGAGTGCACGTGAGTGCTTGGACGGTGCTGGTGGCTGGTGTGGGCCGAGTTTGGGGCTGCGCGCGGCGCTGGCGCCCATGCTGGCGTGGACAGTGGCGCAACGTAACCCTTCGTAGGCGGTAGATGGGGCGCAACCCTTGCCGGGTTTGAACCAGGCGCTGCAGGGGACGGACGATAAGCTGGCGGTGGTGGCGGTGCATGCGCGGCGCGCCGTGCCGACCCCACTGCTGCTGGGGTTGAAGTTGACGAGGCCGCCGAGGACGCCACAGGCCGAGGCGGTGTGGTGGCCGCTGCGGGTGCTGCTGTTGTGGATGCCCCAGTCCTGCGTGCATGCAGCGGCATGGGAGACTTGAGGGCCGTTGGGTCACGCACGCGAAAGATAGCTCCACTCCGCAGTGGATCCATGCTTGATGGTTTTTTGTGGTGGGTTCGTGCCTTGGTGGCTGGGCTGGCTGGGTGGCTTGCCTTCAGACGCACAGCCAGTCAAACACGCAAACAGACACACGAAAGGACTGGTGTGGAATGCCGTGTGTGAGGAAGCTGTGCGTGCGTGTGCGTGTGTGTTTGGCTGCAAGCTGTTGTGGGTGAAGGGCAGTGACAACTGCAACGACCCACGTCACGCTGTCTTCCACACACACAACGTCCGCAGCCGTTGTGGTTGTTGGCGATTTGCGGATATTTTCAGTAAATTTTCCTTGGCTGGCAACCAAAACACACAAACCGCAGCAGACAGCAGACGAGGACGCACAAGCGAGCGGTGTTGGTGTTGGTGTTGGTGTGCTGGTGTGCACAAGCGTCGGCACAGTTGCACTTCAACCCACAGCAATACACAGCACACACTCACACACTCACACACACATACGCAGTGACACGCACATACACACGTACAAGTACAAGTACAACCACACGCCAAGATCATGTCGGCGACACGCGTGACAAGGCGTGAGGCGCAGTGGATCATCAGCACGTTCCTTGGCGAGGAGAACAAGACCACGGACACGGCGCGCCCCGTGGTGGACAACGTCATCAAGCGCACTGATGACCCGCTTACCCTGCGCAGCGCGCTGACTGCGCTTTTAATCCCTGCGCGGGACATGTACCAGCTCGGCCATCCAGAGGAGGTGGTGGCCCTGCTGCGCAAGCCCGTCGCCTGCGTGGGCAAGGTCATGCAAGTGAAGAAGAACAACAACCTCAGCCCGCAGCACCTGGAGCTGCTCACCCCTTGGACGGCGGCATCCGCCATGCTGGCCCTCGGGTACG